TAGGGAAAGCACATGACCTCAGCCATTTTCTGTGGTCCAGTCTCCACAGATTCCCCCTCCCATAGCACTTAATTGTAGGATTAAAGATGTCAGAAGATAAATTCCTGCCTGTTCCCTTAGTATCTGGGCTTATTCTACAGCTGCTTTATATGACAGAGCAAAGAACTTCTGAAAGATTAGTCTACTTCATGCAGTGCAACTTCAGTCAAGGCACTTACAGAGCTCTCCAACACACGAGCCTTTGAAATAGGCTATGTCTGTGTGTGTACTTTTCAAGACTAGGTTAAGATCAAGACTAATTCTTTGCCGTTAAAATGCTAATATTTTTTAATCTGAATAAAAGTATTTCCAGACACACAGGTCCCCACACAGGTCACACTGGCAAGCATATCTTCAGTAGAAAGTATGCCCATCTAAAACCTCTTAGGTTGAAAAAACTGACAGACTTAAAAATGGCTCAGTTCATATACCCATAAGTGAAGCAACAGTGTTAAAAAGTCTGTTTAATTACACAAGCACTTAAAAAAAACGCACAAAAAACCCACATCACTACAGTACAGTACAATTACCACTTTCAGTAAGGAGAGATGGGAGCAGCACTGACGGAGCCTCAACAACATGGACAAGACATGGACAGTACTTGAGACCTGGGAGGCACTTTGGGAGCCTGCTGGAAATTCCTTTTGACCAAGCCCAAACTCTTGCGCAACTGCCAATGAAGGAAAAGAAAACATTAAGAGCTCTTGAAGGCATTTCCAAGCACTACCCAGCCACCTCCAACAGGAATTTCATCAGTAAGAAACAAGATCTAACAGGCAAGCAAATACCTGAGTTAACCCAAAACAAAACAAAAAACCCAGCAACAACAAATCCACCAGAGTACCACACACCTTATACTAATACTGACATCCCTGAGCAATTAGAACTTCATTTTGGAAGGGAATTGCAGAACCAGGGAAGTTAAGGGATTCACTCAGAGCCACGAGCGAGAACAGAGTTTTGGAATATTACGGTAAGAGTCTTTGTAACATCAGGGGAGCAACACTTTTCCAATTAATTTCTAAGTCCTGACCCCATGTGGCCAGGTCTGTTGTTTCCCTCTCCCTTAATTGCACACTCAAGAGCTACTTCTGCAAATGTTTTCAAAGAAAAGTGTTCTCCAACCTTTCTCAAACGGGTTATCACCAGCATACTCTCTGCCTTCACTGTTCTGCTCTTGTCTCTTTAGGTAGGACTGTAGCGTTGACCTGGACAAGCAAGATAGACCATCGGATTTACAGCAGGAAAAATGGCTAGAGGGACCTGAGCTTAACAAGTAAGCTGATGATGCATTACGGTAAGGAAAATTTAATTAATAATTTAGTCACAAAATGATCACCAAAAAAACCCACCACAAAAAGCCAGCTTTGTTTAAACTGGAATATGATCAAAACCAAGATCCATTTTGGAAAAGTCTGCCTATTGGAATATGTTGAGTATAATAGGAGTCGGGGCCCAGTTGACAACATTCTTCATAACAGAAGGACATCTTTAAACGTATATTTAAAAGGAAGGAAGACTCTTTACAGCAACACTGTCGAAAGAGACCCTAGGAGAACATAAAGTGATGCTTGCTTGCACTGTAGCCATGTGGAGAGGGCAGCATAATTTCTATTTGTTTAAATATCACAAGGTGAAGAAGAGAAATTCTCTCCTTTACAGGTGCTGGCACATAATCATTTAAGAACTACTGTTGCAGTTGCAAGTATTTGGATTCTTGAAATCAGTGAGATTAAGTGAAAGGCTAAAATACAAAGCTTATATAAGGCATGAACACATGGGAGATAAGAAATGCATCCGTTTCAACTATTACCAAAACAAGCAATATATTTTCAAACATGGCTAACATAGTCAGAAAAGGAAAAAATGAATGGGAATTTGTCCAAAAGCTCTTCTCATCTAAAGGGAATTTCTCTTCCTGATTTTTCATACTAGTAAGAAACAAAACCACAAAATACCTCATCTCTTCCCACATTCATACCTGGATCTTGCAAAGAGCACATTGTATACAGACTGCTCCTCTGCTGAAAGTTTCAACTGATGCAACTGTGTTCTATGCTTGGGCAGAGATACCTGAATTTAAGATACACAGATATATTAGATGTATATAATAGAAAAAAAAAATCTTATATAGCATAATAAACACCAGTGTTTCAAGATTTAACATAGTATTCTAAGCTTCAAAAGGTAACTGTTTCTTCATTAAAAATGTTATTCATGCTAATGCAATTACGACAACAGAGACAACCACTAAACTCCAAGCAGCCTGATTAACATTTAAGATAAAAATCTTTATTCCAAATCATCCAACAGTAAAAGGTACAAGCAACCATTGACTGCCATATAGCTACCATGGAGGAATTCATTTATTGTGTTGTCAAAGTAGCTTCTCAGTTCCCCATTCAGAATAAGACAGTACACCAAAACTAAACCTTTTAAAGGCTTACAGACACACCAATGACCAAACACTGAGTTTAACAGACTCTTTGTAAAGAATAATGTGGAAAGCCAGTGTCCCAGTGCACAGCAGATCCATTTGATTCTCAGCAATCTAGGCTAGCTCAGAGACCTAAACTAACTTTCTGCTAAGTGGACATCTACTTGCAATTACCTGCAGACATATTCTTGTCTGCATGTGATTTACAACTTTATTATTCTCTTATTATATATTTCTGCTTTCTGGATACTTTTCTACTAAAGTATCCCACAGGCATTCATTCCTCTTGCTCAAGAGACTACAGTAGACAGAAAAACCCACACACGAACAAACTTATGTGCATGAAAACGGACAGATGATTGCCTGGTTGTGGAGGGTGAAGTTCTTACCAAGGCCTTGCCAGTTGAGTCCATCTGGTCCTTAGTCCTCCGCAATAAGAGGCTCCTGGTTAAGAGGCTTAACCTCTCTCCTCCCTTCTTTGTGCCGTTATCTACCTGGTACTTCCACAGTTTGTATTCATCAAAAGGAGAGCAACGTAGAAATCTACAACAGGAGGGAAGGAGACTTAACACCAAGAGAAGGAAAGTTCTTCAGTTACTCCCAGATGACCAGAACCAGATTCCTTGCTGAGCCAGAACTGGTTTGTTCTGGATAGCCACAACTGCTAGGAGCAGTAAAACACTTCCAGGGTGATGACACCAATAACTTGTTTGTTCAAAGTCTTACCATCAATAGCACAGTGAAAGTGTCTTTCTGGTTCTATACCCATCACTTCCCCTTAGCTTGTTATGTCTCAAGCATAACCAGCAAATGAAGGATATCAAAATACAGAGGAAATTGTTATTTCAAAATCCTCAAAATCTACCTCAATTGCAAATTTCAAATGCAAGTTCTCTCTGGCTCTCCAACACCCTTCACAATCTTTCCCTTCTCAACAATGAGGAGTGTAAAGTGTAACCTGTTTATCATTTGCTTAGAGAAGCTAAAGTTTTCACCCTTTCCTTTAATACCTTTGTAGCACGGCCCTCCCAGGTTGCCCCTGGTAGGAACAAGGATTATTGTGCAAAATTTTTGTTCATCAAAATTGGTTTTGTGGATACTAGTCTTGGAGACACAGGAGATCTGAAGGAATTTCCCTTTTGTCCTCTATGGAAGCAGAATAGCTACACACAATAGCAGATGCATGGTCAGTCTTGTCCAATGCCTCAGCCACAGCCTTTGCAATCCAGTGCCTGAAGTGTTGGTATAATGTCTCACTACCCCACACATCTTAGAAACCTCTCAAGCTTAGAAACTACTTCAGCACTTCATCAGTGGATTTACTGGAATTGGAGCCCTGTCCACATGCTCACATGCAGCCAGCTCACCTCAGGAGAGAGTACATGTCCAGCAAGTTGTTCTGTATTGGCGTCCCAGTGACAGCCCATCTGGCAATGGCTCTCAGTTTGCACACAGCTATAGAAGTTTGAACCCTTGGATTTTTAATATTGTGAGCTTCATCCAGTATAACTCGAGCCCAAGCTACCCTGAGCAGAGGGGAACAGGGAGATGACCCTCTCTGAAAGAAAAAGAGCGGACTATTTATAACCCAGCACAGTAAGTCTTGCTAGGCTTTCTAAAGAGCAACAAGCAAACACATTTTCCAGCAAGAAGCATCTTCCTGATGTTATTCAGCAGCAATCTGAGCTCTTACTGTCACGTAAGAGATGGTCTCAAAAAAACCTCTCCAAAGCTTCCATTATTAGTGGCTTCCAGTTTATAAGCCAAAGGAATATAACATTTGCCTGTTCTTGATGATAATTCCTTATCTTTTGCTGTTTTTCTTGCTTTTAACATTTTATTGCTTCTTCCTCCCCAAGAGACATTCCCTTATCAGTAAAATTTGGGACAAAGAAATACATATAATTATTCTATTAGGGCATATCCTATACTTTTAAATGCAAGATCTCTCTACAGTTTTACAGGTGCCACCTTGAAGATTCAAGAAATTCAAAGGCCTGCTTGCCTTAAGAGTGAAATCTAGATTGCAATGGGTTTCTGGTAGTTTAAAGTGATGTTGGCACTTCAGCAGAGAAAACCAACAGAAGATTCTATTGTTTTTCACTGTCTCACCTCAAAAGGAGTATGAGATTCATCACTGAGCTCTTAACATTACTTTTTAAGACATTTTAACTATATTTAATGTAGTGTATCCTACATTACTCCAGAACAGAGTTCTTGTGAATATTTTTTCCTGTTGTCTTTCTGTACTTCACAGTACTTTCATAACTTTATTTTTATTGTGCAAACTCAACAGGGGACTTATGGGGAAAAAAGATTAGTCAACCTACTGCTCACTGTAGCATAAGTTGCTCCTTGAAACCATAATGGTATGCAACACCTCAGAACAAAATGTTAAGGCAATCCTCTGTCAAACACTATGGCTTCTCACCCCAACATCATGGTCCTCAGCAGGGACCTCGCCTTCCTCTTTGCTTGTGGGAACCTCCTTGGAAAGAAGGCTGTAGGTTGTGACAACAACATCATATCCAGAGAGCCTGCACAAAGGGAAAATAGTAATCAGGAGCAAGAACAAACAAGGAAATAATTTTAAGACAGACAAAATGCATGCTCAAGGTTTAAGAACAACCCAGTTTGACAAGAGATGTAATGCAAAGTTTTACAGAAAACAGGCATAGCACTCAAACAGGAAGTACACATCGCCCTCATTTTAAGGATACTGAAAGTAGACACAGCAAGCTCAAGACGACAGTAAAAGCCAGTAGCACAGAACATACACCACATGAGAGGAGCACTGTTTAGAAATACTCCTCAAAATGGCTTAAAACAGTGTAGAAAGTTTTCTGATCTATACACACAGCTGATAAAAAAGTACAATCTCAAAGCATGGAAGAAACTGACACTGATATTCTCTGCAAGCAAGAGATGTTTCAGAGAATGTACACCTATGTTTTTGTTATCAGGAATAGCAATAGCCTGCACCAGAACCACTCAGAATAGGTACAGGCCATAAAGGTTTTGTTATGTACACCCTGAAGCAGACATCAGCCTGAGACATCTGCATCCTCCACACTTCTGTATTTCAGATTCTTACATAATTCTACAGCCACTGAATTTCAACTCTGATAGCAAGATATTGTGTATAAGTAGTATTTTACTTTTCTTGGTCGTATTTATGGTTTAGCACTTACACCTCTGCATGTTTATCTCTGTTTGGCCCATGGTACAAATAGACCCTCAGTTTGCTATGGCCCACACGTCTGTCAATCTCTTTCTTCCAGTGATGGATCAAGGATGCAGGACAAATTATTAAAGTGCCATAGGAAGGAATAACAGTGGAATCTGCAGGGAAATATTACAGACAGGTTTCAATGTCTTAAAATTGGACTACAACAAAGACAGAAGGTTTGGAAAGTCACAACAATTAAGAAGATTGGTCCACTTTTCTGGTGAGCACAGTTTGTGAAGCAGACCTCTATATTGTATTCTTGGGGACTGTTAGTTCTGGGGGAAAAAAAGACTCTACTTAAACACTAGTGCATCACTTCCTGTCTGCTCAGAGTTATGCTATGTATTTGTGCACTTTCATTGGGTAAGCTGAAAGGTTAGAATTCAGGAACTAACCCTGATCTCTCCTGAGAATACAGTACCAAATAAATTCCTCCTTCCCATTCCAGAAGACAGAAATGTTACCATTTTGAACCACATGGGAAAAAACAAACACACAGTCCCTAAACACGAAAAAAATAGCCCAACCAGTTCCATGAAGATGAAGACAGTAACAGGTTGTAGACACAGAAACAATACTCATTAAAAATTCCTAACATCCCTCATCACTATGGACAAGATAAAAATAATCTTATGCGGTGGGGGAAGGGGAAAAGGAAAAAAAAAGATCAGTTACAGGTGGGTGAGTAGTAACTAATTTAAGTCCTTAAGCTATGGAAACTCTGCATATGTTTGCATACATTCAAAAAACTATGAAACTTTTTTCCAAAACAGCATATGCTGACTTTAACCAGTTCAGGAAACAAAATCAGTAAGAAAAATAAATCCCAAAACAAAGGAATGAGTTGGGAAATATGACACTTCCAATGGAAGAACAAAGGACACTGACCAAGAGAAATGTGGAGAAACATCAACAGGCTGCAAACCAAGGCGCTGCAGAAGCTGAGATTCCCATGAGAACAGTATTAAGAGAATAATGGAGCAGCTGGGATTTATACAAAGGCAACCTTTAAAAGACTAAAGTAAGTTATTATTAAGTATAACAGGACCTTGGACTAGCCTAAAAGTAGGAGTTCAAAGCTACACAAAGCACTGTTTGCCTGGGTTATCTCGACCAGAACACTGGTTGAATGGTATCCTGGGTTTGTGGCAGGATATCTTGGTCTTGGAACACCTGGCCATAAAGTACAGGAAATGATGGATGGGAAAGTGCTGTAGTATGTGAACATCCTGATTGGCTGCATAGTCGAGTCCTTATCTATAGCTATAAAAGTAGAGGTAGAAAATAAACACTTCACTTGGCATTCATCTGCTGAGTCAGTTTCTTGTTTTCAGCTCACTGCAGAGACAGGCCTTGCAAGGGGGCACAGTAGATATTAAGCCCAATGGTATTTTCCAACAGAAGAGGAGTGAGCACAGATAGAGTTTGACATGTTACAAGCCTTTAACCTATAATGCCGTAGGCATTTCAAAGGGCATTGTATCATAATGTATGTACTATACAATGGAAACAATTCTGTACCATTTTTGGATAGCCATATTTCTAACTTCTCCTTTCTTTTCTCTGTCTTCAGCTCCTTCTGGGCCAGAATGAGGGCAATCATTGTTAGAGTCTTGCCCAAGCCCATGTCATCCGCTGGAAAAAGACACACAGAAGTTACAATGACTTGCAGAAATGAGCCCCCTCTAGCTCAGATCAACACCAAGGTAAACACTGCAAAATAAGCTGCCCTGGGGAACCCTGGATAAAAATACACATATGACCATTTCAGGGTGTAATTTAGTAATGGGTTAATAGCTGTAATCGGTCAAAGGGCACAGAAAAACAAGCCCCTTCAACATGCCTACAAAGTAACTAGTTACTGGCCTCTGAGTAAGTTATGTACCAAACTGCTGCTGCCATAAATCTTTCCCCCACAAAATCCACTTTCCTGTTTTGTTGCTTACCCAAAATTCCTCCACATGGCCTCTGACTCTCTCTCCAGAGTAACCATGCAAGCGCCTGTTTTTGGTGCAGCAGCAGCGGAACCTGAAAGAGCGAGAGGATTTACAGGAAACGCCTTGCGAAGTTCAGACACTTCTGCTTCCCATACCAAATTATCTAGTTGAACTGCCTTACTATAACCTTACTAAAAGGAGTTTACCTACCTGTTCTTTTCCCACATGGACAAGGATACCCAAGAGAAACAACTCCAGCAGACAGGTCAGCAGTACCAGAGATCAGTCTTGCTAATGCTTTATGCACAAACTAACTTAGCACCTACAGTACTCTGAGAGCATGCAAAGGTAGCTCATTCAGGTGGAAAATCCACCTAAACCTACCTTGCTTACAACAGGCATTTCTATCAAGGAGAAGAATTGAGAACACTTCCTCTTTTCTCACCAAGTCTAAGAACTCTATAGGGTTCTCAGAAAAAAAAGTCAGGAAGAGGGACTACATACTATCATTGTAAGGCATTAAATGGCCTTCCCCGGCACTGAAAAGGTCTGACAAGTTGCAAAACATATATATATCAACACACCATCTTGTAGAGGCATGTGCCTTCATGTACCTTCCACATAACCTCAATAATGGGTTATACATCACCTGATAGACAAAGAGCTACTTGTTGGCAGATCAGAATGGACTACTCTGGAGTAGGAGACCTAACTGAGAAAAAAGAACAGTAAGGGTCCCAGTCTGTTCCTCACTAGAGACCCGCCTGTGCTCTGCCAGTCATGTACAAATAATGGAGGCACTACTTCTTCATTCAAGCACTAAATATTCTGGAGACACCACAACAAGAGGGTAGAACATCAGTATTGGCAATGTGAAGCACCTCTCGTGGATGGAAAGTAATTAGAGCATCTCCTTCCAGCAGGATGAAAACTGAAAAGTACTTCAAGTTGTGAAAGAAGGGGATGCACTAAGGTATCACCCAGATGTTACACTTCATGATTGAGGTAACA